CATTACGGTCTTAAAAATAAGTCAGTGAAAGCCTCTACAGAAAGTTTTGCCTTAGTAAACCTCTTAACATTTCATACGAGCCTATATTATGAAAGCTTTAATCCTATGTTGTGCTACTACTTAGTAATCTATCTGCTAGCAGAAGCGTTTCAAAGAATTGTATGGGATTTTAACGTAAATACTGTCAAAACTGATGCCAATTTTGCTGCTAGATTTTCCTAAAACATGCCATGACAGAATCCTCAGCGTCCAGTTCCCACAGAAAAGCTTATCTATCCTCTGAGATATTTCCTAGTAACTCTTTCTGTAGGCAGGAAACCTACTAAACTACAATTAAAGCCGTTACCCAGAGAGTACTGATTATGGTGTCACAAAGCAAGAGGATAAAATGAGAAAACCATGTCCTACAAAACGCATGACTTAACAGCCATGTTCTTATCAGCTGCTGAATCGGAACACCTGCTTGTCTCTCCTAACCAAAAACGATGAATTTTAGCCAGTATGTGAGTACAATTCAGTGAAGAAACACATTTGTGAGCAAAAAGCTCAACACACAACTGCTGGTAGCCAATTAAATTAATAAATAGCAAACTCATTAAGCTTTACTTTAAGGTTTGCTAGATTCCCTTAGATTAATAATTTTATTAATACAAGACCCTTTCTCTTCCCCCTGTGTGCTAGTTGCTGGGATGTGAGTTCAGGACGATATGCCAACAAACGATTTTCTGCATTAGGTTTTGAACTTCAGCCCTGCAAACACTGTCCAAGTTAGAAATCTCAGCAAAAGTGATTCATATATGAAAAGCATGAAGGCTATTTCGAGTATGAGCAGACAAAGTCTTCTAGCAATCTAAGCAGAAGGAGATTTCTTCTCTAGAGGTCTCATGGAAATAAATTTTTTCTTGATTTACAAATGATTTCACGTGATTAACCTAGTTGACAGTGTAACCTGAAGTCTAGCAAGCCTCAAATTAAGAAGTCTGAAGGAAAAAAGAAAGGAGTAAGTGTTCCTTTAACACACAATGCATCAGCTAGTTTCTTCCAGAGTACTAAGTTTTAAATGCTTGTATCTCACATCAGCAGGGCTACTAATTTTTTTTTCTTTGATATGGAACACACAATGTGTCTGACAGTGGACTAGAAACAGGCTGCTCATCATTCTAACAGACTCAGTGTAAGCTGTGTTGGGAAACACTCTATCAGAAGGCAAGACAATGTCAGAATCTAAGAAAAAGAACAGGAGAAGTGAACTGTCACAATAAAAGTCTGAAGATATTTATCATAAAGTAGCAAAATCAGCTGAAGCAAGTACCCATCAAGCATGAGCCTTCTAGGAAAACTAAAACTTCAGAGTTGTCAGGCAGTCTAGCTAAATATTAGGAACAGATTTCTCTAGTCTCTATATGTTTGAGTGGCAATCCTACTGTTGCACAAGTCTCATAGCATCCAGTCCACACACAGTGAGTTGAGTAAGCAAGACTAGACTCATTAAGTCAACTTGATAAGAAGTCCTCCTTTTCAGAGAAATAAATCTCAGAGGTGAAATACACTGCTGTCAGCTCTGCATCCAGTAATGGTCATGTTCATTTCAGGAGTTGTGTTTTTAAGTAAGTCCTACTTGAACTATTTCTAGATGTACAATCAATAGACACATTTTACAGTCTTCCAAAGAACATATCTGCAAATGTCATGCAAGAAATATTCTCTTTTTGGCATTACCATTTACTTTACAGTGCAAACTGTAAGAAACAAAGGTTTCTTCCTGAAACTACACGCGCTCTTTTTGATCATGTCAGCTTGTTCTTCTGTATGATGATCATTCTGGATTCACACGACAAATTTTAAACAGGAAGAAACAATTCTGAACGTGAATTTCAGCCCTAGTGGCGATAATGGAGGCCCATAAGTTGCAGTTAAGATGCAAGCAATTATCCCCACCCTCTTCCCACCAGTTATCTCAAAATCTGACATTTCTAAACCCAAGGTCTCTTTTAATCATCTTAGAGAGGTGGTGCAGAAAAATTTTAAACATAAGAACATTAAGATTCAAGAAAAAAATTTATTTCAGGGCTAACAAGTTGATAATAAATAAAGGAATATAATAATGCAGTAACAGATGTTCTCATGCACTTAACACATACAATAACGCTGGCTTACACTGCTGTTTGGACAAATTGAGAAGAGGTATTTGGCAATATTATGAGCTTGAATAGTTTAGAGATTATAGAACAAGAAATTCCGCTGTTTCATTTTTTTTTTTTTTTTTTTTTTTTTTTTTTACATTTTTATACAAATTCAAATAAATATTAATACATCTATTTTTCCTCAGATTTTTTGTTCTGTTTTAACATGCCCGATAACTAAACCACAGTAATATACAACTGCCAAGAAAGAGTATTTATGAATTATACTTATTAATAGTCCTAGAAATGTATCATATTCCTGTCACGCTGTGCAAGCTCTTCAGTTAAAACTGGATTTTAGGAAATATTGCAGAAAGTTTGAAGTAATTTAAACATAACGAGTGCAAAGGCCAGTCTAGTCCACACATCATGGTACTGTAATGTCAGCCAATTTAAATAATAAAACATGCCTATATGGATTCAGAAGCAGCTGAATATGTTTTAAAGATCTGACATCTAATATTCAGATTTTGCAATATCAGACATTTTTCAAGTCTTCATGAGATGGCAAAATAACGTTAAGACTTTATAAGTAGTCTTTTTTTTTTTTTTTTAAGGATAACTCACATTAACAGTACTACGGTGGCCAAAAAAAGACAAACTATTATAATAGAAATCAATCTGATTAAAAAATTAAATATTCCAATTAACACTGAAAAAGTGTTTGTAATCATTATTTACAATTCAATGATACCAGTGTACAACTTCACACAGTCAAAGTATACCACTTTCCAAGCAAACACCAATCCCTGTATCCCCTTCCAAGCGTTCGATAGTAGCATGTCACACACGTGAGATCCATCAGTTTAAAGAAGGAGATCGATCTGTGGTCCACAGTAATTCTATATATGGCCATTTGGTTTGCAAGCAGCGTTTCACAGGAGTGTCATCAGTCTGCAGCATTGGCTCTTCAAAGCCCATAACAACTGCTGTGCCTTCTACATACATGACCTGCCAAGATAATCCAAATATGTCAGCTGAGGTTTGTTTATAACATAAGGCCATATCTATTTGATGGTTTATCTGAAGAAACAGTGAAGGCTAAGAAAGGGGTAAAATAAATACCCAGGAAATGCCATGTAAAAATTCAGTGACAAAGGACTACTATTGGTACAGTTGCAATATTTGATACTGTTATCTTAATAAGAGACAGTGTTCCTTAGACTTAGTTTTGCAGAATTACTTTTTCCTTAAGGTGAAATTTCTGTTGAACAGTTCCATTCACACAATATTTAAAATGGTACAGGCAGAATTTTCAGAAATCAAAACTTAGTGTAAATTTTCTCTATTATATATATAGATGTGTTCAATAGCAAAGATAAATGCTTTTAATGCTTTCACTGACACTTGGATTATGAAACTGCTGAAGATTTCACAGTAGTATGTTATAATGATTTAATTCCAAGTTAATGTGAAGACTGAGTGAATCTATTTTCAGGCAGAGCCTTTTCACTTGAGGTCATCTTTGTTACTTGTGTCTATAATGCCTTTTGTTACTTATATCTATTACACTCTTCTCACCTAAATACTCATTCAGGAACAAACTTGGAAGCAGGCATAACATGCTATGTACAGCCTTCTCCTTATGAGAGAGCTGAAAATGAAACAGGTTATTGCTGTACCCAAATAAGCAGCTAAAAAAAAAATAATCTAACTTCCGTTGGAAGTGTGTGGAATACTGAAACAGACCTGGAAATACTGGTTGATGCTCAGCTGAATATGAGCCAGTAGTGTGTCCAGGTGGCCAAGAAGGCCAATGGCATCCTGGCTTTTATCAGAAATTGTGTTGCCAGAAGAAGCAGGGAAGTGTTTGTTTCTCTGTACTCAGCACTGGTGAGGTTGTACCAGTGTGTACTGGTGTAGGACACACTGAGGTACTGTGCGCAGTTTTGGGCACCTCACTACAAGAAATATATTGAGACCCTCCAGTGTATTCAGAGAAGGGCAACACAGCTAGTGACACATATGGAGCACAAGTCTCATGAGGAGCAGCTGAGGGAGCTGGGGGTTGTTCAGGCTGGAGAAGAGGAGGCTCAGTGGTGCCTTATCACTCTCTAAACTACCTGAAGAGAGGCTGTGGTGAGGTGAGTGTTGGCCTCTTCTCTCATGTAACTAGTGATAGGACTAGAGGGAATGGCCTCAAGTCGTGCCAGGGGAGATTCAGGTTGGACGTTAGGAAGTACTTTTACTCTGAGACAGTGTGAGTCTGTGAGTCACAGGTGAGTCACTGGAACGGGCTGCCCAGGGAGGAGGTGGTGTCACCAACCCTGGAAGTATTCAAGAAATGTTTAGATATTGTATCAAGGGAATTTAGATATTGTATCGAGGTTCAGTGGGAAATATTGGTGACAAGTGGACAGTTGGACTGGATGAAATTGAAGTTTGTCTGAGTTCCACTTCCACTGTCCTTTCAGTTCAGATCCTACTTGTCAAGATGAGCAAGCTCGTCTATTCAAAATGCATAGCTGAAGAGGTGTTGTTAAGCTAAGTGATCCAGTATAATATCTAAAATATTACCAGAAGCAGACAGCAGTTTCCTATTTCAAATACATCATTTTGCAATAAAATTAACCAGAGTACTTTTGAGGAAAAAAAAACAAAAAAACAGGCAAAGAAAAAAAGCAACAAAATACTCTGAAGAGTATTTTACTTGTAACTATGCTCAGTTTTATAATACCAAACAGTGAGTTTTGTAGACTGATTGTTATTAAGGCCAGATTTACATTTTTTACATCTTACCTTTTCATTATAGTTAGATTGCTTCAGTCCATTGTAATGGTAGACAGTAAATGACTCCGAAACCCTAGAGTCCTAGCAGAAAGAAAACTGTTAATGTCATGTAATGTATATGTAATACTATTTCTTTCAGATGTATCATTCGGAAGATTTTGTTCATCTTGTCTTTCTCATCACAAACAATTCAAAAATGTCAGTAAATTAAAAGATAACAACTCCCCCGCAATTTTCAAGAGCCAGTAATGATTTTCTGTGTTCATCTGGATACTTTAAATCATTTCAGTATTCAGTTATACTACTGTCTTATCTTTTCAAGCTAGACACCTTCAGTAGTATCCTCAGTTGTATGCACTTACGACTGTTTGGATGCTGCTAACTTAAATATTTACTGAAGATTAAATCCAGTCTCCAACCCTCCACTTGAAGCCAAAGAGTAATTTACACCCATGCCTGCCTAATTGTAAACTAATCCTGAGGACCCTATTCAGAAAATGGCCAACAGTAGATGTACTGCAGTTGTCAACCTTTGCCACTCCAGGTGTATATGTGCTTCAGTCTTAAAAGGACTAAAAAGCCTCACAATGAACTGAATTCAGAAAAACAAATTAGGTGTAATATCATCTCTTTCATACCTACTGGTTCAGGCTCTGAATAAAAGCTTATCCCTCTTTCAAGTACACAGCAGTAAATGCTGGAATGAGGAGACAGCTGCTCTGGTTACAGCACATTCATCAGTTAACAGAATACCCCTATTCATTTTTCTCCTCTAGAGGGACTCAAAAACCTTATCTAGCTACAGGTTTCACACAGCAAGTTATGCTACTTAGTGGAGGGAAGGTGGAGAAGAGAAAGCTAAGCAGTAAGTCTTCTTACAGAATTTGCTTCACAGACACGTATAAAACTAGGCTTTGCAGTGAAGGAAAGAGGGCATGTATTCTTTTCCATCATGAGGATATGCTCACCTTGAAGGAACAGAAGTGCTGGTTTCCAGTTCCTGTCCCACAGATGTTAAGAATTTTGTGTATGCCCCAAAAAAGGACATACAGAGAAATTTAGGAATTCCCCCCTCTCCAAGCATTACCTAAGCACTAAGGAGTCATGCTCGCTCTCTCAATCTAAATGACCTTTGAAAATTTTTCATCTCAGTCAACAGCTTTGAGAAGGAAGGCTGAAACCCCTTCTGGCTCAAGGCAGATTTAAGTACTTTCTAGGAAAAAGAGGGAAATTTGAACATTTTCAGCAAAAAGGAATTAAATCTGGTCGACCTGACCACTAGGTAATTGTTCCCATACTGTGTAAGGGTGAATATCGGCAATTCTAACCATCACTGGCATCTGCTATTTCCTCACAATATTTTAAGACAGGAAAGAATTCTGAACTAGGTATCAGTAAGGGGAAGAATTCTTCCTACCTGATCCAGAGAGCCCCAGGCAGGTTTAACGCCACATCCATGCCCTCATCACGCCCTAATAATAACAGATAGTGGCAGTTCCCAAGCCAAATTATATCGACTGTTCAGACTGTACTCTTTGAACAGTAATACTTCCCACCTTTTGCACTAGAGGTAGCAACAGCCCAGGGGAAACTGAGTGGTAGGGAATAATATGCAACAGAGAATTAGTGCTTGATGGACAATCACTGACTTGTGGCCTCCAAATTCAGAGCAGGTGAAGAGTTCCTCCACCAAGTCTTCAAGTGACTGAGGAAAGATCTGTCCAAGACTACACTAAGCTTCTTTCTCCAGTTCCCCTTGGCCACTCAGTGATGCCATTCAGCAGCAAACAGAAACAGCAGCTCCAAACAAAGGATTTTTTTTCCTCCAACTATGGCCCACAGTACTGGACAGTTTAGATACAGTCAGCTACAGAAGATCATTGAATTACAAAATAGTCTGGGTTGAAAAGGATCTAAAAGTCATCTAGTTTCAGACCCCCTGCACGGGCAGGGTTGCCAACCACCAGTCCAGGCTGCCCAGAACCACATCCAGCCTGGCCATGAATGTCTCCAGGGATGGGGCATCCACAACCTCTCTGAGCAACCTGTTCCAGTGCATCACCACCCTCTCAGTGAAAAACTTCCTCTGAATATCTAACCTAAATCTTCCCTTAGTTTAAAACCATTCCCCCTTGTCCTACCACTATCAACCCATGTAAACAGTTGTTCCCCTCCTGTTTATATGCTCCCTTCAAGTACTGGAAGGCCACAGCGAGGTCTCCCTGGAGCCTTCTCCAATCTAAACAAGCCCAGTTCCCTCAACCTTTCCTCACAGGAGAGGTACTCCAGCCCTCTGATCAACTTAGTGGCCCTGGACCCGTTCCAAGAGCTCTGCATCTTTCTTGTGCTGGCTGAGGGCCCCAGGTTTGAACGCAGTACTCAACATGCACTTTGGCTTTCTAAACTCCACTCTAGACATACGGAGTCTTCCACACTTACAAGTGTGGTATAATTGTGAGAAATAAGATCAAGTTATATTCATTGTAAAGGTATTTCTACTTTTGATGTACAAATAAAAGGAAAAAGAAATAGCTGGCAATTACACATTCTGGACCTAATATTGTAGATCCCAAGCAAATGAACACTCATTTTTTCTTCCTCCAGATGCTGAGTCGTCTCTTAATGATGTATTCTTTCACTACCATCCTTGGCAGAGCATTCTTCTGAATGACCGGATTGTTTCATAGGGCAGTACTGTTTGGGTGTAGTACTCCACATAACTCTATGGTCTTGCAGAAGTTACTTTAAAAATACTAGTTTCACATCTTCTTGGCCATAAAAATTAAGCCACAGAGTTTCAATTATACACTAAGCCACAAAAGCCTCCAAAGGATTACTTCTCTCAGCCTTTCTCTTGCTTCCAAAAGCTTATCTTTCTGTCCCTATGGAAACCCAATATCTTCTGCCAATACTGGCATTTGAACAAACGCCCACAAAACTGCTAAGACTGCTCTCATCAAAATCAGTTCCCTGTTGTGGTTTAATATATATCTGCACAAAGATGTTCTTGGTGGAAGGAGCATGAGAGCAGGAAAATGTGACCCAGGTGAAAGGGAGGATAGTAGTGCTAGGTTAACACATACTTCTCAGAGGTGATGATTTCTTAATGAATACATGGAAAAATACTTTTGAACTCTTCATCTGCTTCATGCTAAACATAAATCTGTAACGATTTTTGTTGAACTTTCTACATTATTAGAGATACACAAATTATTTTAGATATATTGCAACCTTTACCTATTTGCTTGCAATTCTAGTAGACGTTTTTAATATTGATAAAACCAAATTGATCACTGCATTCTGAGAAAAAAATAAACTCACTTTTCTGAGTAGGGAAGTAGTTAAACTTCATGTGCAATGTAATTATGTATTTTCATAGCTTAATTTTTGAACTTGGCACTACAATGGAACTTCCGTCCAATGTAAAGCTCATAAAATCAGGGGCACTTTGCAAGAACAGAATCTACAGTTCATTTTGAAAGATAATAATGTTATTTGCTGGTCATATGTGCCAAAGAAATACAACACATTTTAAAACTCTCTCTGTGATACTGGTAGGAGGATTTAATGACTCTCAAAGACAAGTTAAGTAGACACTACTCCCTAGCAATAAAACTATATTAGTTACCTGCTCAGGGAAGAATTCTTGCAGAAAGGGACCCAGTAATATGATGCCCAGCCCTTCTGGGTCTAATTTGGTCTTCATGAGGTTTACACTAAGAGAAAAACATTGGATATAAAAGAAAGAGAAAAACGTTTTTACTTTTGCATGACTAAACTATTCTGTGCTACCACAGTACTGGCTGCCAAGCATATCAATAGTATTCTATTTTTAATCATCAGTGACAAATGCACCAAAATGACACACAAGTTGCCAAAACAGTTATTTTTAAGTGAAAGTAATCTGTTATCTTAATTCGAACAAGCGATAATTCTGAAGGATCACCATATTTGGTAAAGTAATTTGAAACTCATATAGTCTAAAACACAGTTTATGGCCCAAAAGGCATTTTGCTGTCTTGTAAGCATTCTTGAGCTTAGATATATAAAACAGTCATCTCTTAAACAGCCCTGTAACTGCTGAACAATGTTTTTAAACAGAGACTTGAATAATCTCCAAGATTTACTAAGTATACCAAAATAAAAGTTTAGCCAATATATTTCATATTTACATTGTGCCCTTCATATAAAAATAGTTAAAAAAAATTAATAAGATTAGCAGTACACTGGACTAATCTGAAAGCTTTTCTCAATGAATATGGTACGACTTTAGGACATTACAACAAATGCCAATTATACTTTCATGTTCCTACTTAAGCAGTGTATTTCTACAGACATCAGACTGTTTAAGCATTTATTTGTAACCATCCTATCCTTCTGTCTACAAATTGTTCCATACATAAGAATGCCCTCACTGGGTAAAACCAACTGACTGCCTTGTGCAGTATCCTGTTTCTGACACCGGACAGAAGACGCTTACAATAGAGTAAAACAGGGCAAGCATACAGTGATATCCTTAGTTTACCCTCCCCATTTCCATCAGTCTGCTGCTCAAAGACATCTTCAGTGAGAGGCAGTACCTAAAACACAGAGATACCTATTTTCTCTTTCCATGTATGTACCTAATTGGCTTTTAACCCACGAACTTGTGGCGTTTAATCAATTCCACTCACATATTACAAAATAATTTAAATAAGATTCTGTGAATAAGCATCCTATGTTTTGAAACTGCCACCTGGTGATCCAATTTGATGACACCTTATTTTTGTACTTGAGTAACAGTAAACACTTGGTTTGATAGAGAATGAATGTCACGCATTTATACAATGGCATAATTCACAGATACTTCATTCCAAATTTCATCTGTGATTCAGCATCAATTCAAATCTAAGAACTCCTTCCTGAGTGGTAGCATTTAATTTGCAGTCCAACACTGTGCACATAAAGATCAAGACTGTTTTATCCCATGTAACATCAACTCACAGAATGTCTATTTGAGACCTCTATCACCTTATCTTCTAGTAACTGCTGTTGTCCTTCCACATTAGCTTATTTTTTTTTAATGTCTTGAAAACTTTTGTACTTCTTTGAAGGAACAAACCATCGTACTAATCCTTACCTTTAAAATCTCACCTATGCTATACCAAACTTTACAGATTAAGCAGAAATTCTCACAGGATTCCCCTAATGACAACTCTCTACAAAAAATGATATTTCTATCATTGAATCAATTACCACTGTAGAACAAAGCCTTTCTTCTTATCCCATGTTTATGTAAGATGTGTTGTTTCAGAAGCATTTTCTACAAGATTGAAAATCTTTACAGTATCACATGCTGTTTGTATAAACTAGTTTAATACTGAATTGGTTGATTAACTTGTTAATTCATAGCTGCACTACAAAGTTTCCCCTCTATCCTTCACAAGCTCCAAGCAGGTTGTCTGACCATTATTCAACTTGATCATGGAGTTTCCATCTCAATCCCAAACTAAAAGGTGTAAATAGCACTCTTGGAAGCAATGCCTTTCATTTACTTTAAAACAAACCAACCAACAACAACAACAAAAAAAAAGCAGAAAAGTCTATAGGCTATTTGCAATACGTTACTTATACTTCTATTCCCCTAAACAGACGGGACAACTGAAAACAAAATACAATAGGTCCTCAACACAGTAATGTTGGACAAAATTTTTTACTTAAGAAGAAGCGTTTCAAGACCAAATATTCTATGGTTTGATCTTCAGTGAGGTCTTTTCCATATAGCAGGCCTTCTGACTGGCTCTTCCTAAGTCAATTTATATTTGATGTGGTAAGGACAACAAAACACACCAGGGTTATGCCACAGATGTCCTGAAGGCCAAACAGACAAATGAAAGAACTGCTCAGTGCAGAAAGGGAACTCACTGAGGCAAGAGAACACAAAAGGCTAAAATAAAGCTTCTCAGACCTCTTTACAAAAAACTTCGATAATTTTTACTGTTTACTGACATGACACAAAAGCTAGCATTTTGGTCACATTTTATTTGGTTCTAGTTCCACGCGTGTCTTTTAACTTCAATTTTCACTTCTCCACAGAGAACAGCTCAGGGAACTTTGTTGCATTTGTAACATTTTAAAGGATAGAAAACCACTTCAATCAACTTTCATGTCTGTGGTAAGTATGCCTGCAGTCTCCACAGCCATCCTACAGAAACAAATTATTTAGATCACAATAAACTGAACATATGGTTACAAAAGAGCAAAACCATCTTTTGGAGATGTAAAAAAAAAAAAAAAAAAAAAAAATCGTCCAAGCACATCTCTATGCTTTCTGGGTTGAACATTTAGTGGTGAAATTTAATTGGAAGGTAAGCTCTGGCACTGAAAGTTAACTGCTGCTACTGAACGCTAGTCCTGTCATTCACATGATATAAAAAAATATATTACCTTTTTCTTAATAGCTTTGACTCTAATTCTAGAAACCAGGGTGTCACTTCTTCAACTAAATTACAACTATGAACACAAAGTACTGGGTGCCTGAAAACAAGAATATAACTGAAGCAGCTTCACTTCAAACTTTGCACGTACGTCCAATGTTAATCTGTATTCAATATGCCTTCCAGTATCTTGGTGTTTCAGGTTTTTTTTTTGTCACTGTTTCACTTTAGTCAACACGCAGGAATACACTCACAAAACTCTCTTCAACACAGAGTAATGATGCAAGGATATTTCTTGTACTCATTACTACCAAAGCTAGAGACATTAATTCTAATTCTTCCGTTCTGTTTCATTTAAAGTTGACCTAAGAACTCCAAAATAACATCCTGTGCCCTGAGTACAGGCAAAAATAAAAAATAAAATAAAAAAATAATCGAGAATTAACTTATATTTCTATACACTGAAAGGTTATTATACTTACTATTCAGGATCTGAAACAAGGTCCAGAGCTTTCATTACATCTTCTAGGAGAGTGTCAGGTATAAAGCCATTATCTGAAAAAGTAACAAAACTCATTAGGAAAAGAAACAAAATGCTTTTCAGGAAAACAAATTCTACTAAATATAAATACTGTACATCTTTAAAACTGAAAAAACAGTGGAAGGGCTCTAGAAGGAACACAGTTTTCTAACAGCTTTTATAACACTTTGAAAAAGAAAAGAAGGAATGTAATACAGAAACTGTAAGCTCATCATTCATACACTTAAAGCTTAATACTTGCTAAGACTTCAGTCTATAGCAATCTGTTTGACACGACAGGGGTAATAATTGTACATTTTTCCCCTTCTGAACAGTTAAAATAATACCTGAATGTTAGGCATTATCTATTTCCAAAACGTAACTTTGAGCTTGTGCCATACACATTTAAGAACAAAATTTCATGCTGAAGGCAGTCATAGCAGATCAACTACTTTATGAAAACGTAATGTAAAAGAAGACAAAATATACATAAGCTTTCCATTAACTACCAAGACTATTACCAGGCTTAAAAGCTTATGCTCTAAGAATGCTAGAAGTAGTTCTCAGATAATTCCTTCATTTCACTTGCAGATTAACTATTGCATTGAAAACTTAATGTTGTTTGTGCTAAGTACTTAATTCTTCTCTAGCTTAACTAGCACATGAATAAAAGCATATTATCATGATGTAGAAAGAACAATGGATTTGAAAGTTCAGTATTTGGAACAGATCTTATAAAATAATGCTTCCCTTTTTGAAGAGATAGAATCATCAAATCTTTAGAGTTGGAAGAGAGTTTTAGAAGTTATCTAGTCCAACTTCTCTGCAACGAAAAGGAACACCCATAGCTAGATTATGGTGCTCAGAGCCTGGCCCAGCCTGACCTTAAATGTCTCCAAGGATGGGGCAACAACCACCTCTCTGGGCAACTTGCTCCAGTGCCTCACCACCCTCATTATAAAAGACTTTATCCTTATATCCAACCTAAATTTCGTCTCTTTTATGAAACCATTTCCCCTCATCCTATCACCACAGACCCTGTCAGAGGACCTGCTCTCTTCTTTCTTACAGTCCGCCTTTAAATACTGAAAGGCAGCTCTTAGGTTTCCCTAGAGTCTTCTCCTCTCTAGGCTAAACAGCCCCAGCTCTCTCAGCCTGTCCCCATAGGGGAGATGTTCGTTTTGACAACCCTCCTCTGGACACACTCAAACAGGTCTATGTCTCTCCTTTACTGAGGACTCCACATATGGATTGCCTGGTGAGGCCTCATCAGAACAGACCAGCAGGACCACCTTCCTCACCCTGCTGGCCATGCTTCTTTTGATGCAGTCCAGGATAAGGTCAGCTTTCTGGACTGCAAGGACACAGTGCTGCTTCAAGTCCAGCTGCCATCCATTAGTACACCCAGCCCCTTTTCTATCCTTAAATCCCTCAGTTTGTATGATTCTATGGATTGTATTAGTATTGGGGATTGCCTCAACTCAGGTACAAGACCTTGCACTTGACTTTGTTAAACCTCATGATACTCCACAGAATTCTGCATCCATTACAATTCAAAATTTGTATCCACAGAATGAGTACAGCCCTTACCCTCAGGGTCATATGTCTGGAAAACTCTCCTAGCTTGTTCTGAAGGTGCTTCAGGAGCAACAAGAGCCATATCCTTAAGGAAAAAAGAAAAAAAAAGATTTCAGAACATTCTTAAATTCAGATCCCTGTTACTAAAGAAATATTGTACCATTCCACACAGGTTTGGACCTTAAATTAAAGCAAATTTAAATATAAGAAGAATAATTGAAGGTACTTTGAAAACACTGATGACAGTGTCTATCAATTCAAATTTCTATACAAACTTTATGTAAGCTTTTTCATGCAGATATTATGGCATAAAAAAGCTACTAGGATGCTAAATATTTTACAAAGATTTTGATTTATATTACTGTTCTTTATAACTGACCACACAAATAAGCAGCTATAAAATGTAGTGAGATTCACTACACACGCACTGAAACAGATAGAAAATTTATTGATATACAAAGCTGTAAGAAAGCTTTGAAGTCCATTCCACAGATTAGCAGAACATGTTTGTTTGGTACATTTAAAAAAAACACAATTTCTATAGTAGCTGCTGTAATATTTCATATATGACTTTTTCATCTCAAATGCAATTATGCTTTCCTGAACTTACATACAAGCAAGCACATGTCTACGTACTACTGTAAAACTAACAAAAAGCATACCTCTGTGTTTATGCCAAAACCATTTTAAAAGTGAAATTTGATGGTTATTCACACAAAATAATAAGGTGGCAAAAAGGCTAAGAAATGCGCCGTATTCAGCATCATCATTCAGTTTGAAAGGTACAGAACCACGACATTCACAGAGAACTTGAAACATCAAATACTGCTCATAAGGAGTACTTGAAGTACTCCTCTTCGAAAGCTATGTCTCCTCTTGAAGAGTTATGATCACCTATCTTGTTTTTCACATCAAAAAGGGAAATGAAAAGCCTGTGCAGAGGAAAACACTGCATTTCACAATGCCTTCCTGTAGTTTTCCTTCCTGTCAAAGTGGAAACGCAATGTAACCCACTCTGCTATGAACAGGAAACAGAAGAAAAAAAAAAAACCAACATGCTGGCATACCTCTGAATAAAAATAAACCTCAAAAAACATGCTATTTTTAATCTACAGTGGGAAGAAACTGTATAAAGTAAGTGTATTCTTCACAAATCAAAATACATAGATCTTTTTATTTCCAGTTTCAGCTCAACTTTGCTTTCTGGAATGTAATTTAAAGGGAAAATCATAACAATATCTGTCTGTTACAAGTGATACAAGTTAAACCAGAGTTCCCTGTTGCAATTTCCTATTAAAAGAAAATGTAAGATTGAAAGATACATAGAGGTCTATTGTTATTTGGACAGGATAAGAAATCTGCTGCAGGGAAAGAACCAGATTCCACTCTTATCCAGTTTCTCTTAATAGCTGACTCCAAGTCAGCCAAGAATTTCAAGTATACAACTCATGGTACCTGGCTTGCACTTAAAAACCTTCCTGAAGGAAAGCCAGCTCTTCTAGGATATACAAAAAGGGTAACAAGCAACATAACACATTTTTAAAAATAAGAGGCAAGTTTTATTTTGAATACATGGAAGATACAGCTATAAGTATCAGTAAGCTGTAAGTACACCAGGTTACTAACATCACTGGTTACAAAGTTCCCCTTATCGCCCTCTATGCGACAGAACAGTATTTGGTCTACGAAGGGCTGCATTAGAAAGTTAGGAGATATCTGACTTGCCTGCTGATGCTCCAGCTCACCAGATCATTGCACATTCAATTGTAAGGGCTACACCACTGCTGCTTGACCACTATGCAAAAACCTGCACTACTAAGGAGCACAGTGCCTGAAGGATTAGGGTTTCATTTACTGCATCTGTGCATTCTGCAGCATGCAGCCCTAGACACAAGGTGTGCAGAAACAGAGCCAGCTGCTTGTCTTCACACAGCAGCCAAGGCATTCTGAAAGGTGTCCTTATGTGCAATATCAGACAGTGTCACATCTCACAGTGACAGGACTTCTGAGCCCATCTTTATTCGTAACAGAAGTAGGCTGTCCTGCTGAGAAACCAGGACTATATATCTCACTGAACCATGCAATCTCCCAGTGAAAAAGGGTACAGAAGCAACTAATCAGGGAGAAGTCCTTTCAATCTTTTACTACTTCCTGATGAAAGCAACCTGTAAATTGCTCGCTTAATTTAGCGGAAATTAAAAACTATATTTTACTATTTCGATATCATCATCATAGTGTGATTTTAAGGTTCTGCAAATACTATTAATTTAGAACAAAAAACTACCTCATGAAAAATACGCTAGGGGTTATATAAATGAGTGATAACCAAAGCATTTACAAAGCTCAATCATTTAATGGCATGCTTTCACAATTATGTACTAATTAGACATTTCTGAAATACTCTATAGATAAAAAGGACTCTGGAAACGTGAGGATTAGAAAACAAATGTTATGTCTGTAAAGCCTTACAAAATGCAATAATTCATTTTTAAAAAAGAAAAAGTTAAGGAAAGATTTCCAGGGAATGCAGAACCCAGAGCTGCCCACATTCGCATATGACAGTGCTTGTAGTTCAAGTTTACTTAGTACTTAACATTACACAAATGCGGGAAGTCCATGATCTGCTTCTTTCAAGCCATTCAGACCATCCATATATTTCCATCACGTTACTTTAGTCGTAACTATCTCGTCTGCAGGATATACTGTACTTCTGGCATTTTTATTTTATTTTTATTTTTTTGGTCAAGAAAACAAGTTTACAAGTACTGAAAGTTTTCTACATGAAGATTAAATTAAAATAGAGAAAAAACTGTAATGGCTTATTTTGTCTTCCTTGTGGAACAGAAAGATGCCAAAGAGCTGATTTACAAGGTACAGTAAATCCACATGGTATCAGAATTAAGTAGTAACTAACAAGAGATACAACTCTTCCATGTTAAACATGGGCTAAAATTCAAATTGAAAACAAGCCTCATACAAAACCATACAGTTTTAATAACATACGGAGTTAAATATAATTATTTCCATGATGCCAAGCTGTGCAGTTGCTGTACCAAGTTGTGCAGTTATTGAGGAGATACTATACCAAAAGGGGTACATTATGCTACAACGGAACACTGAAGTGATTCTTTAAGGTACATACAATGTAGAATTTGCTAACGTGTGACTAACTCTTAAATAAGAGACGTGGAATACCGCAAAATTGGAAAAGTTTCATTTTTAGGGGGCAGTATTAAGGAATACAGTGAATTACAGTGAATGAGAGCAATTTAAAATAGTTTAAAATAGTAGCCAGTTTAAAATAGATGCCAAAGCATATAGAGCTTATTAACAATTCATTGATCAGTGATGTCTGTATTTGGGATTTAACTCTATAGAGGTGATATTTTAAATAGTAGGTTCCTACGAAAGAGTTAGCAGCTAGTGGAAACAATGTCACAAGTGATAACTGTTAAAGCTTCCATCGTATGGAAGGATATAACCAAAGTGCCTTTCAAATGCAAAGATGCATTACTTCGAACATAAACTACCAAGTTACACTTCGCTTCTACTTACAAACATTCAGTTCTGTCCATAAATCTTAATATAAAGCAAGAGCACAAACTACTACTTCTGGTCCTACCTGCCCTCAAACTGCAGTGTTTAATGTAGTACCCTTCACAATTTCAAGCAATGCAAACATGTTTTTTAAAGTCTCCAGCAACTACCCACAGATTAGCTTGATAGTCCAATTGCAGATACTGCATACGTTTGTCAGCATTTTAGTTTTTCAGGTCCTTAGTTGTTTTATATAACATGTACATGGGAAGACTTCACACAACAAATCACTACATATTCCAGACCTAAAATTATCACATTTTTTGACTGAACTTCTAATTGTGGTAGAGCCTCCCTACAGGACAAGGACTGTGATGAAATTAATGCCTCCTATTTTATTACACTGGCCCATGATGTCAGAGACAGATACAGGCAGTACAGCAGTGGAGGCTGAATCTTCCCAGCAATATTCTATTACATTTTGTTGCCATGTGACAGATGGCAGCAGAGGGGCAGTCTGACAGAATGATATCTGACACGAAGTGTGCATTGAAGCAAAGGTGTGTCACCAAATTCCTCCCTGCAGAGAAAAAAATGGTACCCAGTGACATTCACTAATGCTTTCTGAACGTTTATGGAGACCAAAGAATGGATGTGAGCACAGTGAGGCAGTGGCTGGTGCATTTCAGCAGTGGTAACAGCAAGATGGAAGAAATCACATTCAAGATGGCCACACACACAGCTGTCACACCACAAAATGAAGAATCTCTTGATCAATTTATCCGTGCAAATAGGCTAATGATGGCAACTGTACGGAAATACAGTTTCAATTCTTATTGCTAAGAATTTGCTCTTTCAGATGGTGTTACTGCACTTTTTCTATCTGTAGCTGCTTCCATGGAAATAAAGAGGAGGCATTACTTTTGGAGCATCTCACTTATTCTCTATTAAAACTTCTTCCCCCCACAAAGCGTGATTCATTGATACTCAAAGCAAGTCATTTGAAGGGGTAAATTAGAAAAGTTCCCTGCCATGGAGGGATGACAAAATAACAAACAAACCCTTTCACATCTTTGAAATAATTCTCACCCTTCACTGAGATCGCTGTTCCATAAATAATTTAAAATACCAAGATTTTAACCGAGTACATACAAACCCCTAATATCCTTTACTTAGAATATCATTCATATCCACTACCCTGAAAGTTAAAGTTCAATTAGTCCATATATTTCCACTGGGGTAATAAATAAATAAATAAATAAATAAAAATTAAAAAAATCAACTTCTCCCCTCCTCAAACTAGCCAAGGAAACCAAACCAAACACAACCCCCCTCCAAACATATCTCCCTGGCAGCAGAGTTGAAAACATATAAATATCTAACAAACACATACTTCAGCTGACAAGGCTGATATTCCATTTCATGTGCCAAAATATACACCCACCCTCAAGACCCATGAATTGTATTTTGATGTATCCCATACATTGGAAGTTCCATATAAGGGAATCTCATCAACAGTTGATTATTGTAATTATTTTCAATACTAAG